TTAAAGGACAATAATGCTTTATTTGACAGCCATTAGGGGAATTGCATGTTCAGGGACACAGATTCCCAACTTTCCAACCTGCACCAAAACCCGCCCCCCCCCCCATCCCCCACCCCTCTCACCTCACCAAAATATTATTGCCAACTTTATTTTGCATCTTTCTATAGTCTTCCTTTAGCTCTACCTTAGATGTCTGTTTTTCTCAGTCCAGAAGAAGACATTTGCAAAGCAATAAAGTTTATGAATAAAGTGGATGTCTAACCAAAACGTTTTTGTTTTTGATAGCTTGGAGAAGGATTACAACCCCGGTCAGGTTTTACTGCTATCCGGATTTCTGTTAGAGGGATTTCACCTCAATTCCTGTCCTGGTGATTATTGTTTCACTAGACAGGAAGTGAGGGAAAATATGCAACAACAACAACAACACAGCAATAGAACCCTGGTCAGATTTGTATTACTGTTTGTTCCTCACTTTCTGTCTGGTGAAACTATTGTCATTGTGCCAGTAAGGCCTCATTCACACTGGGCGATTTGACATTCCTGCTGCAAAAACCTATGGATTTCTGCAGCAGGAATTCCAGATCTTCTGTTAGATTCAGCCACTGTACCAGTTCAGGTTAATGACCGGGTGACAGTAGCCACATCTGTAAGCAGCAGTCTGCATGTAATCGTATGTGATACGATTACATGCGGTTTGGAAAAGATCACTGTCCCTGGATGCATCTATTCTGCGTCCCACGACAGTCATCTATTCCAAACCACTTGCAATGATATCAGACGGACAGCAGCTTACAAATGCAGCCGCTGTCACCAGGTCATTAACTTTAACGACCACAACGGCCGCATCTAAATGGGACATCTGGGATTCCTACCGCAGGAATCTGTAGGATCCTGCCGCAAGAAGCTCAAATCGCCCATTGTGAATGTAGCCTTAGTATGGGGACTTCGCTTAACAGTAAAAACCCAACAGGAGTTCTATTCCTTCCCCACCCTATCTAAAACAACAACAAAAAGGTTTTGGCCAGATATACACATTAAAAAAAAATCGCAGATACAAAAAAGATCTACTAAGAATGTGAATTAGAAAATACTTTTACTGTACCTCGTAAAGATTAATACACTTGGGCTTACTTACTAAAGGAGTTAAAAATATTCATACAATTTATCGATTTAAGATTCTCAACTCCTTTTGCCTCTTTGTGCTAGAGCTCATATGGTATCAGTATTGTATATAACATGCATAAATGTTACCTATCCCATCTTAACAAGTGCAACAAGACTATTATTACTTATTCTGTCAAATTCAATGAAAAACAATGAACAGAATAACAGATCAGCAATGGTAGCTCATGTCTTTCAGTGCTCACAGGTTTTCTTTAAGGCCTATGAACAGATTTAATAAAATCATGAAGCTCACAGATGTACACTGTTATAATCAGCAGCTGCATCCCCTCTATCACCACAATGATATAATTCCACATTGTTTGGCTGTTTTAGATAAGGTCACCAGGGCCAGATGGAAAAAGCCTTTACATATACATTTCAATACTAATAATCATAGAATTAAGAGACAAAACTCCTTTTTGTTTTACATACCGTTAGCACTGCACATTGCGTACTGTCCTCTCTCAGTGCAAGTTTGGTTAGACTGTGACAGAGTGAAGACATTGCATGCCCTATGACTACCCAATCTTATTTTTACCATGGATGCTCATCACAATTCAATATACAGATTACCTTCACAAGAATATGAAACAAAACCATCCAAATATGTAAGAGCAGGCATGTAATAATGTCATATCTAAATGTACTCAGCATCTACTCAGCAAAGTAAATACCACAGTTTATCTTCAGGCCTATGGATTGCAGACCGCAGTATACAGCAGATTGGCTATTAAGATGCTTTGGTAGCCCATTCCAAATGAATAGGCTTTCCTAACCCAAATCATTGTTAAGGTGTTAAATTAAATACATTAGCTTCCACGTGGTAAAGCTGTGCAGCGGGCCAAAGGAGCAGTTTGGGCCCTTGCACAGCAATGAGCATTATTGAATGCTTTTTTGCACTATTTTAAACAACTCTTCATACACATTTTGTGCATTTTTTGTTCACGCATTCTAAAATACAGTATGAGGGAATAACCTTCATTTCAACAGGCCTGCTTAAAGGGTCAGTCAACCAAGCGTATTTAGGTTATAGGTGATACATGGAGGGGTAAACCTATTTTCTTACATGTCTTGGATACTTCAGCAGTGTAATCTGTTTGCCATAATTCCTGCCCCTGCCCAGCTTTGTTTGTTCCAGTTCTTCCAGTTGCATTTGCCACAGTATAAAAAATACACAAGTCCAAAATCTAACAGGTAATGTAGGACCCTTGAAAAACACAGATAGGAGACCCACATTTTAAATGAATCTGTTCTTCTGGATGCTCAGAACATTCTTGAAGAGGCTGCTTCCACAATGACAGGGATACCCCAAGCCAGACGTGGGGGTCCAAGGTAGATTTGATGATCAAATTGTACTATTTCCATTTTGCAAAATCTCCACTAAATGCAGACACGGGTAACTGCAGATCACCATTCATTTTATTGAGTCCATAAATCCTGAAAGGAACTGACAGTGTTATTCACAAAAGGGAGAAGAGTTTGGAGAAGGCAGGAGAAGTGAACAATCTTGGACAACATATCTGAACTGGATCATTTTTCCACATCAGCTATTTTGTCCTAGATTGTTCACTTCTCCTGTCTTCCCCAAACTCTTCACCCTTTTGTGAATAGCCCTGTGAGTTTCACTTAATTTAAACCCAGATGAAGGGGGGTTGTATGAATCCCCAAAACACGTTGGCTGTTACACCTTACTGACCTTTTCAAATAAACTATTGTTTTGGACTCAAATTGTGGTCATGTCCCCGTCTGTTCTTCTTCCTGGGAGATTTAGGACACTGTCAAGCATCTACCAAAAACTGAAATAGTTTTGGGTAGACCGACCCTTTAATACGTGTCAACACACAGAAATGCCACATGTCATATTTTTAAAATGACTAGGCCTTAGTACATATATATTACACCAGATGCTTGATATGGGGTAGGAGGGACACCTGCTTGAATTCAAATTATTGTTTACAGTAATGGGACCTCAAGCTACATGAACGGCTGACAGGGAGCAGGTTTCCCTTGTTCTATATCTGTACATAACTTCCTCAACACAGTGTTGTCATGACACTAAACAGCACTGTGATTCTAAACAGATCCAATGGACATTGGCCCCTCAGCTTCAGAAAGCCTGACAGCTCCAGTGTAAGTGCTGTACACATCCTGCCTGACCTTGTGAGTCAAGGTAATTCCCTCCCAGGATTTCATGGGACACTTCAGGTAGCTCTGGTGCAGTAATCCCATTATGTATAGATGAGAGCAGAGGTATGCAGACTGCACAGCTTGTATGCAAGTTCTATTGTGTTGCCTGTAGTTGTCATTGCTTCATGGCTTGCTCCCAGGAAACATTCTAAAAAAAAAACTTTGGCATTTCAGGCCACAAAAAAAATAAATAAAAAGGTTGAATAACGCTTTAGAAACACTAAAAGAGTTAATAGCTTGCAGTCATTCACAAAAAAATGAAACTCACAACAAGGACACCCTTACAAAAACAACCTTTGTAAGCAAGTGTCATTCATTCCTGGAGCATTCAGTGCCTTTTGTAAGGGTCAGTGCAAGAATGTCAGTTCACCACAGATTTTCCACTGTAATGCTTCTCTGATGCTTAATATATTGAGCGTTGGAGGAAATTTGAATATACTGACCACACAAAGGTCTCACCGCCCTGTTATACTGTTTAAAATGACATTAAAGGATATCCCTCCCGCCCCATGCTGATGTAAGGACTTACCTTAAATGATGCCTCTTGGTCCGATCATCTTCCAGTAGTTTTCAGGAGTCCCTCCAGCGCTGGTGCCGCTCGCCGATATAGCGCTGATTCCTCTCTCTTTCTGACACTTCCTGTCCCACGGAGTCTGTGCGGGTGCACGCTGCCTCCATTGACTTGCCTTGTGTGTCTCCTCGTCTCCTGGCCGAAGATCTGTACTGCGCATGCGCCCACCTCATGATCCTTTGCGGCCACCAGAGATTTTTCAAATCTTCAGGCGGGAACACGCCAAGACATAGGTAAGTTTAAACCTTTTTCTGAACGTTTTAAAAAGAAATGTTTTTGCATATATTTACTGCTTGCTAGCAATAGATATATGCCAAAACCCCTGAGGGTTTAAATATCCTTTAATACAGGGGTGTAACTAGATGTGACTATAAAGTCAGATATAATAGACTGTTACATGCTTTCGAACTGTATGTACATTCACTTTTTCACAAATAATCTGGCCGATGCTTTTACTGCTTAACAACATTGTACTGCTGTGCCCCAAGCTATCATGTGGTCTGCAAATGCTACAGTTCTATTATTGGTCTTAAGATCAATAACTGGTGATTTAATATTTTGTTACCTAATATAATGAATGTGTAGAATTTAACAATCCAATGTACTTTTGTGCAAATAAAAGCAGATGTGAAGCAGCCAATGCAATTTCAGTTGTCATCTTTTTAGGGCAGATTAGAACATGGAACCTACTGTATATTCCATTGGTCGCTGTGGGCAATACCATTATAATCCTATACACCATCTTGTCAGCCTTACATTCAAGCATCTAATATTAAAAAAATATTAAAAAGAAGAAATTAGAAGATGTCTACGGAACTGAACATTTACAACTGTGTTGACTCATTAAAGTGAAACAGAGTATGACTGTAAGAAATTATGCACGGCTCCAGGGTTATAGCTTATATCAACTCTCATCACCAATTGTAGATTGTTCAGTGCTTGTCTTTTCATCCAGTAACCTCCTGTACAACAAGCACTTTACAGTGGATTCCTTCCATTACACATTGGATGTGCACTGATCTTATCATGCCAATGCCCTGTCTGAATGTCTCTGCACCAATAAATACAATGGAAGTTACTACTTAGAAACTGTCACTCTGCGGAATTGTCTCCTTCCCAGCATATGTTGTGGAGGTCCATTCCTCTGGTTTTGTCCATGTCCAGGAAGGCACATTGGTGCCAATAGTATCCACAAATAAAGAATGACACATGTCCAGCAAGAGGCCACCTTGATCCAAAATGTGGGCCAGCTGCCATGGGTAAAGATGGACTCCAGGGATGAATCTTCATAGCTATAAAGGAAAATGAGCTGCATGAGAACACACTGATCTTTAAACATTAGTCATGCTGATAATTAAACATTACTCATATAAAAGGTGTATCGTGTGAACTCTTCACATAGATTACTATGGTGTGTGACCTTATGAATACATAGTAAACACATTGCTGTACTCTCTGGGTTAAACATTTCTCCTCTCTAAAGAGCTCCTGTTGTGCTGGAACAAACCCACGCTATACTGCAAAGGAGAGAGGCAGGGAAGGTAGGCACTGTCCTCGTTTTTCTCAATCGTGATGACTTTAGAATACTTTGGCAGGATAATATTGGGCCTCATCTCCTGTACACAATAGCACCATATGTGCCCACACTCCCCAAGACATGCTCCTTGTTGCCAATCTTACAGCACACTGACATTGTGAAGTTGTTACAACTGTGCTAGACTTTGGTGCCACTTACAGTGGGTTTCTGTGACCCTGAATTATATTAAAGCCTGCCATACTTAATTCTTCTCTAACCTGTACTGGCTGCATGACATGATAACATGCAAACAGAATGAAGTAGCAAATGATCTATCTTCCCTATACCCCTGCTTTACACCATGTATTTACTACTGCCGATTCATCCACAAAGATGGAGGATCCTTTATACACCAGGAGAATTTAGGAGCCTGGTGCTGGTGTTGAGAAGGGGATGTATTTTGGTCCCACTTTTAAACCATCAACTGATCCTGAAAGGTAAAGCTGGGTATACACTGGTAGATTTTGGTATACACGTGCATAGGAAAAATCTTGTCCCAACATTTAATAATACCATCAGGAACCTGACGAATGTCATTCAAAAATTCTTTTGAGTCTAACATTTGATTTTGGAATGAATGGAGTTTCCCAAACGAAAGCTATGTTCACTGTTAGAATTTCATTAGTTTAAGAAAAAAAATTCCTTCCTGCTCTTTCGATTTTTTCATCACCATGGTCGAAATCAATTGTCAATTTAATCCCATTAGCTATTAGAAAATTGAACGAATGTTCCGAAAAAAATTCTAACAAAGTTCTAATCTTGTATACCCAGCTAAAGACTAGGATTACACAGCAGTGGGTTGTCATGGTCCAGCCTGTACTCTTGGTGTGCTGAGATGGTATCATTTGCAGCATGGCGTATATTTTCAGTAGAAAAAATATTTAATTGTTTTTTTGTATATAATGTTAATAAACAGCAGTCTGGTTTGTGGATCAGTCACTGGTTTTGCTTATGTTTGTGAATTACTGCTGTCCATGAATCAACCCACACATATTCAGATCTCAAAAGATTTGTTTTGATCACCTTTAAATATAAATGTTAGATTTGCTGTTAGTGCTGCAAGGTTCACAAGTAACATACATGTGGGAGAAGTCATTCCACTCTTCAGATAATTACAATTGGGATGTGGCCAATTTTGTTCTGCACAGCACAGGGGAGAAGGCCATATCTGATAGCAATGAGCTGTTTTATGCTATAAGTGATGTCTGTACACATTCCAGGCATGTTTGCATTTTATTGAACAATGCAAAATCTCCTAGGCTTATTCCAAACAAACACATGCTTAAGTCAGATGTGAAATATATATATAATAACCTCAGTGCAAGACAACTAGTAAAGTAACATCATTGCAGGATCTACTGTATCCTCAGATATGAACTGCTGCCCTTGGTTTATTTCACCTTGCTCCCAGACCTCTTTGAACAGCTTCAAGCAAATTTCAGTGTCAGAGAACAACAGCCAAAAACCCGTCCTATCTCTAACATCCCACATAACAATATTTGGGCCTATCTGTAGGCTACTCAGGCAGCGGTGCACACCACAGTAAGGTGGAAGGAGGTGCCTACGCTTCCACTAATGGTAAGTGGAAATTTATATAGGCAGCCTTCTAAGTTGGTCTGCAGACTGAAGGTACCTGGGGTGCCAGGTCAGATAGTACTGGATACCTTGCACCAAGATTAATTTACTATTTGAAAACCAAGTAAAGGTCAAATCTTTTTCTACAAAATCATCTTGCATATTTCTTTCACACAAGATCAGCAGCGGCCACCCCTTTTGGGATATTGTGCTAAGTTCAGTAACATATAGTTCTTTCAGTAATCCATCTGTTCCTACGTCCTTAACATTAGGTTGCCTCACTAGGCAATAGTAGAAACATCATCTGCCAGGGGATCAGGAACAGACTTGATTTCAATATACCAAAGGAATGTTCTGTTATAATTACAGAATGCCATGGAGTAATTATCCAACTGCATATGCAGATCTACATGCTTGTGACAGATGATTGAATACTAAAGTACGGTAATCAAAACTGATGAACTGCAATCCCTGCCATCCAGCACGAATCATATCTTGTGTGTTGCGGCCTAACTCTAGCTGAAAAGCGGAGATTAAACCCAACTGACCAAAAGAACATTCCCAGATGACTAGTGTACCAAGTTAACAGCAAAATAATATGGGGCATTAAGAGGCTTTTTTAGGACAAGTTGCTGCACTTGCTTAAGCATCACACATGAGAATGTCAATAGGCACAATAAATGATGTATATGAGCTCTTGTGGACTCTACCTAAACATACTGTAAATCACATTGAGTTATTTCTCTGCCGGCCTCTTGTGCAGCACAGCAGGAAGACTAAGCACCTGAGAATGTGCGGAATGCGCACCTGAACCAGTTGGTGAGCGTCATCATCACATAGAGAGAGGCGAGCACAAATACAAAGTGGAAAAAGGAATAGCTGTAGATTACTCGTTCCCGCTCATCGTGTATCACTGCTTGTCCGCCACTGGCATCCATATCTTCCTTACAGCTCCGTTCCCCTGATAGACAGGAAGTAGATTATGACTGGTGTATCTTTTTTAGAAATCAATATGACAAAAAAACCTAGAAAACCATAACCAATAAGTGCCTGTAACATATATGATGCGGAATGAGATCTCATTTGTCATACCCATTATCCAGAAACAAACAATAACATATTTAACTATTTTACCTACCAAAGGATTTGAAGTTCTGTTCAGAGAGTCTTGCGCTTTAAAGACCTTTGTCACAGTAACCAGAAAATTGCTAACCTTATTTCCTAGTTGCTGATAAATACATCAATATCTTCACCTGCAGCCTACTTGTTCAGCTCTGTCCAATGAACAGGTCACTGACATAGGAAGCTACACACAGGGAAGGAAATACTGGATTAACATTTGTGGTTATTCAGTGTGGCACGGCTGTGTGGATTACATGACTGGCTGAACAGAATTATAAATCATTTGAAAGGCAAAACAGAATTCTCCTTTAATAATAATTCGTAAAGCTGTAGTGTATCAAGGGATAACCAATCAATGGTATAAAAGGTGATATTAAGGTAACTAATGCTTATGTGTGGGCTTTATATTAAAGGAGAACTATGAGGTGAGTGCTTTGACCTCACCTCATAGTTCTAGCCGACCTGTGACAATTAGACTGTCACAGGTCGGCTCAGTAGATCGGGAGGTGAGCGAAAACATACCGGCGTTCGTTCACCTCTATATCCTGTCTGGCCGTGACAGGATCGAGTGGTGAGAGAACTCCGGTATGTTTTCGCTCACCTCCCGATCTACTGAGCCGACCTGTGACAGTCTCATTGTCACAGGTCGGCGAGAACTATGAGGTGAGTGAAAAGCACTCACCTCATAGTTCTCCTTTAATATCACACTAACATGATCAGACATAACAGCCATACAAGACATGCTAGGTATAGAGAGACTGAAAGAGACAACTTTCCCACTATGTGTTTGTATATCTAGACCTGGCGACAGGAAGAGTAGAGAAAATAGTACTCTAGTAGGAGTCTGGTTCTAGCTGTATAGGTAAAACATTAGTGGACTGTAAGTACACAGTACTCTCCACACAATCTCAATGTTATCATAAATGTTTTTCAGTCATGGCACCATTTAAACGTATGCAAAATCTCTAGACACACTAGTCTAAAAAAACCACATAAATATGGTAATGTAAAAAACAACTGGATGCCCCTCCTTCATGAAATCAATAACAAACCCTTATCTTAGAAAGGGTTCTGGTTTGGGTTTTAGGGGGAGCCCCAGGGAAAATTACCCCAAAAAAAGACAAAGTGGAGTTTCCCTTTTCACATCAGGAGCCCCCTTTACATAAGATCATTTGAAGAGATGTCACCAGCACACCAAAAATCCTTTCAAGATAACCATGTGTTCATTTAATAAGAACCATGTCAAGTAAAAACAAGCGCTTTCGGGGCCACGCAGGGTCCCTTCATCAGGCTTAACTTTGACAGAAGTGCCACGCAGGGTCCCTTCATCAGGCTTAACATTGACAGAAGTGTACACATCTGTCAATGTTAAGCTTGATGAAGGGACCCTATGTGGCCCCACAATCGCTTCTTTTTACTTGTTATGGTTCTTATTAAATTAACACATGGTTATCCTGAAAGGATTTTTGCTGTGCTGGTGACATCTCTTCAAATGATCAATGTAACCAGCAGAGCCCTCTGCAGTCACTACAAGCACCCTCCCCTGTCGTTGGGGTATCCGGTAAGGAGTGCAACAAGTCTCTCACTATATTCTGCCCTTTACATAAGAGTCCCCTCTTTGGCGCAAAATTTGAAGGCACTCCTGACAAAGTCAAAGGGCACCCTGGTTGAGAAGGGATGGGCTATCTGAATGTTTAACATATAAGAGCATCATGGGAGAAAGAAAAAAAAGTAGTAGTGATGGTTTACCCATTATTTATTCTTGCAGAATAGTCATCATTATGTATATTTCCAATACATTATCATATTATTCTTACTCTTAAACTCCTTATTGATAAAGCACACCGATAGAAACTCTCCAAACATTACGTCTAATGGTCTCCAGCATGATTGGTTCCCACATTAAAGCAATGATATTTGAGGGTCACTGAAGGAATAGACATTCTTTTAAAATCTTGTGTAATCACAATGGCCATTACATTCAATAAACACAAAATCAACTCTATAGTATCTATTTATTGCACAATCCTACACTGACTTTGACACTGAAAGAAGCCTAGCCTCAATTTCACATGCCTCCCTTTGTATATGGCCTTGGGGAACATTTCTTTGCCAGCTCATCTCCATATACATTTTTGCTTTATGATAGATGTGTTAGTGATAGTTACTGAGACACTGACTGGTACTCCCTGTCTCTACAAACAAGAAAATAAAGACAAGGAACACATAATTATGGTACACTGTGGTGAGTGATAGAAACCCACAAATCACCTCATTACAGCTGTATGACACATAGGGGTCTATTCACAAAGCTGCCGAGGGCAGCCGAGTGAATGACCGATCAGAACACACATTATCTGGTACAGGTATTTGCAGAGAGATCTGTATTTAGGGCTCCTTCTGACAACAGATATATGGATGACACACTGATAACAGTGCCATCCTGAAAGATACACATTTCACCATTCAGATACCTGAAGAACATAAATATGTTGTCAGCAAGAAGTCATAAAACTTGGCATTGTGTCCAATTGAATTTATTCTCCCATGGAATGCATTTAAAAATCTGTCCTGCCTCCCATTATATTTATCTGAGGACAGATTGGGATATAAACAAATCTACTAGCATCATTTCTCAACTACTGAAATATACTTGAAATGCTGAAGTGCTTTCAGTGACTGTTATTGTATTTGTCATCCATATTTGATTATTAACAAGAGCAATCACTCATTTAAGCCTTGCAGTTGCGTAAATTGGAGCTTGAGCTACTGACCCCTGTAAGCAGGTATGATTTTTACAATAACTGTGTAGCTGGATAGCATACTTTTTCCAGGTGCAATGTGAAACTTTCATGTTTTGTGCCATGTTAAAATCAGGACTTTGTGATATGGGCCACATTCAAAGTAAGCGTTGGCTCAGAGCAAGAAGAATGAGGACAAATCAAATGCAGCCATACAAGTGGCAATAAGAGCCTATGATAAGGTAAGAGTGATGAAACAGAGCTGAACACTGGTTTTAACAAGAAGCCCATGCGTGGGTTAGCTAGGGAATGATAACAAGCACTGCCAAATACTGGAAGCACTCTTTTTCCCAATCTAGTTAAACCCTACATGGCCTGTTTATTGCAAACAACGATTGACTTTGTTGGCTCACTTATTCTTATCGTAACACTGGAAACATCATCACTGCACACACATATTTTCTGATATGTATGAATAACCAGTGAATGATTGTTCCCTTTTCTATGGAGAAAAGACAACCAAACATTCACCATGCATAAGCTGCATTCCATCATCGGCTGAGTAGGAAAGCAGCTTGTTGTGGGTCCCTGTGCATTGCATAAGATGAAAACAGGCAACCCTCTTGTCATCCTTTGTTCTCAGCATAGGCACTGGACTTTAGTTTAGGCCTAAACTGTCCACTTGTATAAAGCAAATGGAAAAGTCCTTTCATCCTTCATTCTGCAGGAGTGGTCCTAACACTCATGTATACTGTCCTGAACTTTTCTCATAGGGCAAAAAAACTGCGAACACATGGTGACCTAAACTCAGTCCCGGAAAAGGTTAATACTTAAGAGCCCTAACCACATAAAAACACTTCAAAGATTCCTCACCTCTTTCTTCATCTTCTTCAGGACAACAGAAACAGCAGGAAGCTTTCTACATATAAAATGTATAAGAAACAAATGTTACAGATGTCTGGAATAGTAATAATCTACAAATTAACCTTCAACATTGCAGTTTGACTGTGTATTCCCATCTCACATCTGACTGCAGCTCAGTGCACTGTGGATCATTGTTCTCTTTCTGCTCAATTTACTGCAGTTATTCTCTCACTGAATATGCTGATCTGAACTAGCAATGAACCTCTTAATATACCCTGTAGTTAGCACATGTAATGCTTACCCATCAGGAAGGAAATGCAAGCAAAATGACTGCTATTAGCAAAAACAGATTATGTAAATCATTCTAAATTTAAAATAAATGTTTCTCTACCCAAATACAAATATTATACTTACTTGAAACTCGTAGGTATAGACTTTTACCATCCACATTGGACCAAACATTTCTGCAAGGTAT